AAAAGGAATCGATACAAGTTTGCTTTCGAGGCTCATGCAGACGATAGCCCATTATAATGTCATTTACGTAAAAATGACGTTGGAAATATCTTGGCTCTGATAGTCTTCGCCCCAAGTTGGTGTGTCACTCTCAATGTGCCATGTAAATTGATCTCAATTGTTATTTACTGTCGAATATTGAATACATTTTATCAGACAATCTGTCATCTGTCCGCTTAAGAGAGGTTGGTTTGCCCATTGGGAACTCAAGTAAGGTGTCCGCGTCCGTTAAAGAGGGGTGTCCGCTTAATAGGGGTTATGATAATAGTATTTTATTAAAGAAAACGAATGGGACCTGAGATATGTGTCCGCTTAAAAGAGGTGTCCGCTTATAGGGGTTCGACTGTATATCTAATTTAAGTATAAACAGATAGTTGGAACACTTATCAAACCTTTATTTTGTTAAACTAGAGTTTGAAAAAATTCCAATGCTATAGCAACTAATGCTATACTGACAAAGTGGGCACATAATAGAACAAATCACAATTGTATCCAAGCATTTAAGTTATATATACATGCGAATAAGTTGGGCGATTTTCCCAAACAGAATAACCAAATCATATTAACCATTAGGCCTGTCGTTTTAACTTTAGTTTTTTAACTTCCTTTTTACAGTTTTCATTGTAATGCATTTTCATGTCTTGCTAAAGGATGAATGTTTTACTGCACCAATATATACCCAAATGCTGGGATGTTTACAACACGATCTACTGCACATACTGCACGATTACCGCACGCCTGATAGAATGTACCACAAGCAAAGGAGTATATAATACCAAAACCTATCCAAGAGTCACAGGACCCACAACCATTTTCGTTGTTGGCAACAAAACCAAGGCGAGCATTGATATATGGCAATTGGATATTGAAACCTTCATGGTTGCAATTGGACTGCAAGGAAGAGCCTGCGATCACAGACATCCAGGTGTTTTTTCCAGCGGATGTGCTACGGTATTGTCCATCTGCGATCATACTGTACAGCGAACTTGCTTCGTAATCTAACATCATCCATTTTCTGTCACCATTAACGGTCATACCAAGACATATTTTCTTGAAAGGAGTGTTCCAATAAGAGGCCAGTTTACTTTCTTTTTCTGTTAGTCCTTCAAGTCCATCTTCAACTGCATAACTTTCCTTGTTCGTCCACAAAGGTGAATTGTAGTCAAATGTGGGCTAAATTAGAAAGAACACAATAATTTAGGGAAGAGAAATTAATTGACTGGTGCCCGATGCTTTAGTAGACAATGATTATTTAAGACATAGTTTTAGTTAGAAAATTGAAAGAAAAACTTCCTCTGATTGTTTGGCTGCTTAATTGATGAATTGATTGTGTGGTTCATTATTTGGTTAATTGAAGTTTAACATGCACTAACGTACCCTCGATCTCTATCTTACCATATTTCCATTCACTTTCAAGACTAGTGTCCAACCTCCACCTCCACATCCGGGAATATCTGTCATGTAACAATATACCTTATATGGAGACGAGGAAATGTTCAACTGTATAGTATAGGCATCGTTTGACAAAGACCTGGAATAAAATAATGATACTTTTATCACACCTTAATTGTAAATGAAAATGATGTCTTAGATTTAGGGCAATATTTAACTGGAGGGCACTCGGAAACTGGTAACTCCGCCAGCGAATTGACTAAGGGAGCGTTCATAATTAATGTGGTGGGGGGGAAGGCTATGAGGATTTTATTGGAGTGTCAGCTATTTAGTGATATTTAGGGGGGGCTGTAGAGAATAAGTTAATAATCTGGAAGGGGGGTCATCAAGAAACGCTATACTATTCACACTTGTCGTGTTTATCATGTCATTGTTAAAATATTGCAAAATTGAAGACTTTCGAATAAAATTTCTTAGCCCTTTTTATTTTAAACTTCGTTCCATTGTCAGCATTTTGAAATCTCAAAAATATAGCCTCGTGAAATATTTTGTAAAAAAGTCGCAAAAATGAACAAGGCAAACTTGTCTATGAAGATTAAGTATGAACACTAGTCGCGTAACCGCAATGAATTTTATTTTCCAAAGGGTTGACACTCAACAGTTGTGCAACACCAGTATATAGATGAGTATCAAATAGATTTGTTACCTGAAGTCTATATATACTGTACAATGTATATCAGTACAGTTAATTCAAAAAAGGTTTCTCTGAAAACCTTAAACTTTAAACCCCGCGCAAACTCTTGGCATGCAAAGCATCATGGGGGCATGGATATATAGGTTAGGTTGTATTGTAAACAGTAGCAAATGCCTTGCACGCTTAGGGTTTAAGGTTCATACGATCTTTAAAGTTTTGACTTTCTCAGGACAACCTTCTTTCAATCATTCAGACTAAATAAGTTAACTGCGCTCCACCATCTGGATTTGTAGCATTGCAGACATATTTACTGAATATGTTTAGTATTTCATTGATTTTGTTATTGTCAAAATTTGCTGTTTAAATACCCTCAAGAGATTTCAAATACTCTAAATTAAATAAAAGTTGAGCTCAACATGAAACAAAGGAAAAGAAATAGTTTTATGCATTCAGTTTACTCTACCCGCCCTACCCAGCAAAGCGAGACAAACCTTTCCTAATTTCGCATCCAGCTGAATTTAGTTTAGGTTGTCTCTTATAGTAACAGTAAACCGGCCTAAACCAACAAGAAATGAGCATGGACATCCAAGGAATGCAGTAAAGAACTCTTCCAGTTCAAACGGTTAAGTTATTTCCATCGATCTGTTTCAATATGGTGTTTTATTTATTTTTTTTTTCCTTTCCATAATTGTAGATTATGCAAGTCTGTTTTAACAGATGCAGTATAATATTAATTATATGAGAGATATGAAACGAGATTTAACAATGCATTATCTTTATTATTCACTCCTTTTTAACGTATTTACAGTGAATTTAAAGTATATCAACTATAACCATAACAAAATAACGTTCTCAGTCCATCCTCACATCACCACTGACCTGCGCCCTGCGTTCGTCTTTTTGTGAACGACCTATAAAACATTTAACAATGCATAGGGAGGGATTAACTATACGAGGCGGGAATGCATTGT